GCTCGAGCTTCCCTGGGCGTTGCAGTTCAGCCAGTCAGCCCCCCGCCGCCACTGCCGCAGCTGCTGCTTTTGTGAGCTGGCCCGGCCGGCTCACGCTGCGCCCAGCAGCTAATTAGGCTTGCCCGTCGGCCCGGACACCCTGTTCGCCGCCTGCGCTCTTCGCTCGCGGCCGCGACCAAAAAAACATCCCCACCAGCAGCCCAGCAGCCGCCGCTTCTGAGCGCTGGCCCGGCCGTCTTGCGCGTCACTCAGTAGCTAATTAAGCTGGCCCGCGCCCAGGACCCCCCTCTCGGCGACAGCTTGATTGACGCGTCTGCCCGCGACCAAAAAAAATGTCCCCACCAGCCCATCCAGAAACGATCAGCAGGGGAGTTGGTGAATCAGGGGCGGCAGGACGCATGCAGTTGCGCAGCCGTCTTCGGGAAAACCAGGATCACAGAGAGCTTCCCGCATGGAAGCTTCAGATGGAAATCGGTGCAAGCTACGATGGTGCTTCGATGAGGGGCGAGGGGTGTTTCGATGACTCGTAATGGCCGTTGCACTGATTTTAATCTGAAACTCGCGTGCGTTTCGAAACTTGGAGCCATCTTGGGCATCTCTTGGGGTTCTCTTGGGGCCCTCTTGGGGCCCTCCTGGAGCTCTTTCTTGGGGCTCTCTTGAGGTCCTCGTAGGGCCTTCTTGGAGCCTTCTTGGGGCTCTTTTGGGGCGCCTCGGGGCCCTCTTGGGGCTCTTTTTGGGGGTCTGGGGGCCTTCTGGGGGCTCTTCTGGGATGCCTGAGGGGCATCTTGGGGCCGTCTTGGACCTTTTCGCTAAAAAAGAAGGGGGTTCTAATTCCCATCGCCCCCTCGGAGGCTCAAACATGCCGTCTTGGGGCCCTCTTGGGCCGCTCTTGGGGCTATCTTGGGCCGTCTTGGGGCCATCTTGCGGCCTCAAGAGCCCATCGGTGCGAAAAAGCGAGAAGGCCAAACACACTGATTTTCCAATGTTTTTTGAAGGATTTTGGCCTCTTGGGGGAGTCCTCGGCGGGCTCGGAGAGCACTTGACACCGTCTTGGGGCCGTCATGGGGCCTCTTGGATGCGTGTCGGAGGCTATCTTGAGCCATCTACTGCTATCTTGGGCCATCTTGGAGGCCATCTCGCACTTTCTGAAGCCCTCTTGGAGCCATCTTGGGCCGAAAAGGGCCCTCTGACACCTCGCGGGGGAGCCCGTCCAGACGCAGGGGGGGGAGGTAAACCTCCCAAGCAGGGAAAGGAAGGAGGTTGGAAAAGGAAACGCTCTGGACCACCTGCGCCCAGAGGGCTGGTGGAATAAAAACCCGGAGGTCCGCGCGGATTTCTCGGATCGGCGTTGGACCCCCCTCCCTGGCGCGCGGAGGCGCCGCCAGGGGCCTCCAGCGCCGATCCGAGAAATCTGCGCGGTCCTCCGAGTTTCTATGTTCATGTCATTGTTCGTTCCCGTAGTAGGGGATGCGTCGGCCCCCCATCGCCCACTTATCGCCGAGAGGGGCCCGATAGCCGCCCCGCCCAGGAACGTGGGGAATCGCTATCTGGTGCCTATCGCCGAGCCGTCGGTATCGCCAATTCCAGCTCGGTGTTCCCCCCCGCCCTAAACTACCCCCTCCTTGAACCAGTCCCTCCCCTAACGTTCCCCCTCACTCCACTGCGGCGGCAGGGGTCCAAAAAGAGGCAGAGCCTGCGACAGGCTTCTTGCGCTCCTGATGCGCGCCTGCTGGCTGCTGCTGCTGCTGCTGCTGCTGCGGACGGGCTGCGTGGGCTGGTTGCTGGCGATCCGTGGACCACACATGCTTGGGGGTCATGGTAGTGGCACAGCCCCCTGGCAGCTGAAAAGCTCGAGGAGTATGCGAACGTGTCAGTGGCGCGTGCGTATTTGCTTCGGCGCCACCCCCTGCCCAGCTGCTGCCGGAGCTGCGACTCTCCTTGCTTCTGCGCTGCACTCTCCGTCTGCACACGCCTGCCAGCTCTTTCTACCAAAACTCCGCCAGAGGGTGTTGGCCCGAGGCGTGCCCCGTTTGTCCTGTGGCGCCGGTACCCGCGCGTCAGGCCAGGCACATGCCGCGGCGGAGGGACTTTAAAGGAGGGAGAGTCGCGGAGTGATGATGATCGTGATGAGTATGATGTTGATGGTGGTGGTGGTGGTGGTGATTTTGGTCATGATGACAATGGCGATGAGGAGGATGATGCTGATGATGGTGGTGGTGGTGATGCTGATGATGCTGAATATGATGATGGTGGCGGTGAGTATGATTGTTATGGTGATGGTGGTGATGATAATGGCGACGATGGTTGCGGTGATTGCGGTGGTGGCGATGGAATTTGCATTTGCGATGGCGATGGCTATGATGATGGTGATGATGACGATGATCCTGATGACGATGATGACGATGATGACGCTGATGATGATGATGACGATACTGATGATGCTGCTGCTGCTGATGATGATGAGGATGCTGATCATTATCATGATGATGCACATTTTCATGAACTGGTGTTGATGATGATGACGACGATGATGCTACTGATGATGACGATGATGATGCTGATGATGATGATGATGTTACTGCTGCTGTTGCTGATGATGATCATGACGACGATAACGATGATGGTGTTGAGATGGTGCTGAGGACGATGGGTATGGGCATGGGGATGGGGATACTGATGATGCTGATGATGATGTTGATGATGATGGTGATGATGCTGAATCTGATGATGATGGTGGTGATGATGATGCTAACGATGACAATGACGATGATGATGATGATGATGATGATGATGATGATGATGATGATGATGACGATGATGACGATGCTGCTGCTGATGCTGCTGCTGCTGATGATGATGACGATGACGATGACGACGACGACGATGATGATGATGATGATGATGATGATGATGATGATGATGATGATGATGATGATGATGATGATGATGAGGATGAGGATGAGGATGAGGATGATGATGATGATGATGATGATGATGATGATGATGATGATGATGATGATGATGAGGATGATGATGGTGATGATGGTAGTGGCCTCCGGCCAGTGCCGCCGATCCGGGGTGCTACCGATTCTGCTTGCAACTGATGACCTTTTATGTTTAAAAGTAGACTCGCTCGAGACGTCCTCATAAGATAGAGATTTGGAACTCGCTTGGGCAACCTTCGGATTTTCGAAAGTGACGATCTCGCGTGAACAGCCAAACTCATGGGATGTTGACGTAGCTGATGTATGACACCTTTTGGGGGCGCTCCTGGGCTTCTCGGGGGACTTTTTGGAGGCATCCTGGAGCTTCTTGGGGGCGCGCTTCTTGGGGGCCTTTTGGGGGCCTCCTTGGGGCTTCTTGGGCCGTCTTGGGCCCTCTTCAGGCGTGAATGGCGTCAGCCATGGTGTCGGCCCTCCACCCCCCCCTCTCCTCTCCCGAGCCTGAATGGTGTCAGCCATGGCGTCAGCCACCCCCCCCTCCCGACAGAGTGAAGCTTGAGCGAGCTCCCCCCCCCTCCCTCCTCCTCCCAGGCCTGAATGGCGTCAGCCATGGCGTCAGCCTTCCCCCCCCTCTCCCCCGACTCCCCCCTCCCGGGCCTGAATGGCGTCAGCCATGGCGTCAGCCCCCCCCCCCCCCCTCCCCCTTCCTGGGCCTGAATGGCGTCAGCTATGGCGTCAGCCCCCCCCCCCCGGCAGAGCGAAGCTTGAGCGAGCTCCCCGACCCCTCCCCTCTCCTGGGCCTGAATGGCGTCAGCCATGGCGTCAGCCCCCCCCCCCCCCCCCCCCCCTCCCGGGCCTGAATCGGTCCCCCCTCCCCACCTCCCTCCCGGGCCTGAATGGCGTCAGCCATGGCGTCAGCCCCCCCCCCCCCTCCCCCCCCGACAGAGCGAAGCTTGAGCGAGCTCCCCCGCCCCCTTCCTCCTTCCCGGGCCTGAATGGCGTGAGCTCTTCTCCCCCCCCCCCCCCCTCTCGGGCCTGAATGGCGTCGGCCGTGGCGTCCCCCCCCCCCCCCGACTCCCTCCTCGGGCCTGAATGGCGTCAGCCATGGCGTGCCCCCCTCCTCTCCCTCTCGGGCCTGAATGGCGGCCTGAATGGCGTCAGCCATGGCGTCAGCCCCCCCCTCCCCCGACTCCCTCCTCCCGGGCCTGAATGGCGTCAGCCATGGCGTCCCCCCCCCCTCTCCTCCCCGGGCCTGAATGGCGCGCCTACATGGCGCCCTGGGTTTCTTGGGTTTCGATGAATTTGCGATGGAAAGCTTGACGGACCCACACCAAAAATCAATGGACGTCCTGGGGTCTCAGGGTTGGGTTTCTTGTGGAAGGTTTCGTGTGGTCGGGCCCCTACTGTAATTGGCTGGCGTTCTCTTCTGGTGGTGGAGGGAAGGTCGGCTACGCGTGCAGTCGGACCGAGGTACAAGATCGAGGTCGTGCTTGTTGGATGATCTTATGCATCCTGGCGAGGGCACCCTGGGGTGTTCCGTGTGTGTTTTGGCCGACGGAGGGTCCCGTGCTCTTGAGGGATGTTTTTCGGGCCTATTCCCGATTGTAGCTGGCGTCCTCCTCTGGTGGAGTGTCGGCTACGTGTAAGACGTAAGAGCGACCCCTCGCTGGAGTGACCTCGGGTGGCGCGGCCCTCCGTGGGCGCGGGAGGCCACCCCGGAGCACGCGAGCCGCCCTCGGCGTATCGCACGCAGCGATCTACAGGCCGCGCCTCGACGTTTAACTTTCTCAGAACGGTGCGATTACCATACCGCGAGTGGTCCTGGGGCTTCGTGGGGACGGCATGATTTTGAGACCTGGGTCATTTTCTGGGCAGGTCTCGGGCGACCGGGGCCTCCAAGGTCCGAGCACGGTGCGGGGACGAACGGGGCGGTGGGCTCTTTTGGGACTTCGAGGTCACCGTGCGGTCTGTCACCGCACCTTTCGGGACTCCCAACGGTCACTCTCGCCCAGGATCATTCCTTGCGTGCTTCCGAGAGGGGACCCCGCGCCCATCCGCAGCTTGTGGCTCAGAGCCCACCCCACCCGGGCACCGTCTTAGCGCGTCGCACCACGCCGCAATGCAGGCCTGTCGCGGTCCGCTCTCGGCTCCTCGTTCGCTTGGGCAGTGGCCAGCCGAGAGTCGAGTGGTAGCACAAAGGGGAGCAGGTGGAGGAGGAGGAGGAGGAGGAGGAGGAGGAGGAGGAGGAGGAGAAGTGCCGGCCTGTATAAGGGCCTGGGCGGTTTCAGCGTTTCATCTCAGCTCCTCTTTTCGCTCCCCTCTTTGTTTTCCGCTCTCCGTCTCCTCCTTCTTCATCCCCTTCAGCTCATTTTGTATTATGCTCACTGCTCCCTTCTTCTCCTCGCACTTTGTCCTTTCCGCCCTTTCACCCTGGTACTTTTCACCCCCGTCCCCCATCCTCACTCATCACCTCCGCTCCCTTCCCCAACTCTCTTCTCATTTTCGTTCTCGCACTGGCTCTTACCGCCTTTCTCCCTGCTCATCCCCGCGCTCTCCTCCACCTCCTCCTCCTCCTCATCATCATCATCATCATCTCGTCGTGATCATCATCATTATCATCCTTCTCCACCTCATCGTTCCTCCTCCTCTTCCTCCTCCTCCTTCCTTCTCCTTCTCCTTCTCCTCCTTATCATCATCATTCGCATCATCATCATCATCATCATCATCATCATCATCATCATCATCATCATCATCATCATCATCATCGTCATCATCATCATCATCATCATCATCACCATCACCATCAGCATCATTAGCATCGTCGTCATCATCATCACCGTCATCATCATCACCACCACCATCACCGTCACCATCGCCATCACCATATCATCATCGTCATCATCGTGAGCAGCATGAACATCATAATCATCATCAGCAGCATCATCATCATCAGCATCAGCGTCGTCCTCGTCATCTTCATCGTCATCGCCATCGTTGCCTCGTCGTCATCGTCGTCAGCATCATCAACACCATGGTCCTCTCTCATCCTTTTCCTCCTTATCATCGTTCCTCCTCCTCCTTATCCTCCGCATCGTTCCTCCTCCTCATTGTTCCTCCTCTTCCTTATCCTCTTTTCCATCCTCCCACCGCTTCCTTATCCAATGCCCCTCTCTTCCCGAAAGTTCAACTTCGCCTTCTGATGTGGATGCTCCTCCCTCTCCTCCTCTGCCTTCTCTCCTTCTCCTCCTCCCGCCCTGCCCGTCCTCGTCCTTCTCCTTTTCCGTTCATGCGCCTGCCGCAGCCATTTCGGCACACCCCTCGCACGTTTCGTGGCCCCAGCAGGTAGCTCCACCGAAGGCCCCACTGGCTGCGTTCGCATGCGCCCGCCGCGCCCAGTTCGGCACACCCCGAACACGTTTCGTGGCCACGTAGAGAATTCTACCAAAGGCCTTCGCCTGCGCCCGCCGCGCCCATGTCGGCACGCCCCTCATACGCTTCGTGCCCCCGTAAAGGAGCTCCACCGAAGGCCCCCGTGAAGGGGTTTGCATGCCGCCCGCCCCGCCGATTTCGGTACAGCCCTCAAACGTCTCGCGGCCCCATAGGACACTTCACCAGAGGCCCCAGTGGCGGTGTTCGCTTGTGTCCGCCCTGCCCATGTCGGCATACCCCGCGTACGTTTCGTGGCCCCGTAGGGAGCCCCACCGAAGGCCGCAGTGGTTGCGTTCGCATGCGCTCACCGCGCCCATTTCGGTACACGCCCACTCATTCCGTGGCTCCATAGGGAGCTTCATCGAAGGCGTTATTCATGACTGTGTTTCTGACACCTGCACATGGACTGGGTCCTTCGCCAAGCTGACTCGTGCCTTGCGTTCTCCGAGGCACCCCGAGAGGTTTGTTTTGCTTACCACTCGTTTTCTTTTGGGACCTCGCCAGTTCCAGTCCTGTGTTTCCTGGAGGCCTCACTGTGTTCTGTACGACAAGCTTTTAAAGTGTGCAACGTGGTTCTGGAATGGGGCTCCCTGTACGAGAACACAGCACATCGGAAACAACATGAGACCTCTCAGTAGAAGCACAATCACGTACATATGAAAAGGAGGCCAAGAGAAATAGGAGGAACAAGATAATACCCCACGTGCAGAACGAACCCAACCCGTGTATCAGCACATTAGCGCATTACGACATCCACGCAACAGGAAACAACACCAGTATCCACAGAAAAGGGCCAGGTAAGATGATTCACACAACAGAAAACAATGATAGCATGTACGTACTTAGAGGGAATCAGTAAAAAGGATCGGTGCAAAAGGAAGCACAGCGAGATCCACACCACATGAACACATCGATATTCTCGAGCCATCCGGATACTTCCCAGGGATTCCAGGGGAGTTTTACGTTTCGCCGATGCATGGGGCATCGTCTTGGAACGACCCCCGCCCCCCAGCTTTTTTCGCAGCCCTGGCATTGAAACCTCGAGGCTCGCGCGGAGTGCCTACTCCTCCTTGCTCTTGAAGGGTGCGCTTGAACTTTTGGGGTCCACCAACACTGGGTTCGGCATCAAATCATGTGAGCCTGATATGCCCTCTTAATTCCGTCTGAGCCTCGAGTAGCGTCGATTAGCGTCTGGGAGTCGACGAGATAGCGCCGATTTAGTGTCGGTTGGCGTCGATTTGCGTAGATTTAGCGACGATTAGCGTCGAACAGCGTCGATTCGCAATAGCCGACTAGATTTGATGGGAGGCTTCCATGCGTTGCCACCGAAACCGGGCCCGGCCAGGCCAATCTTGGGCCCATGCTCGGCGTGCGTGCCCAGGGTGGGCCCAGCCAGGATTTCCGTGCAGATGAGCCCTGCTGGCATCCCTCAGCCCAGCCAGAGTAGTTGGCATCCTCCTGCTGGCATCCCCGCCACAAAAAAGAATACACAGACACCCTCCGCTGGATTGTTCCTGGGCCTCAGGGGAGGGGGGCGGTGTGTGTAAATCACCACTGAGAGCCAGCGACTTTATAATACACCGTCCCCTCCCTGAAGGTACTCGCGTCGGAGGGTATACCTATCCCCGTGTTTGGCATCACCTTACCTCGGTGCCGATCCTAAGGATTCCCCCAGTTTCTGAGGGCAACACCCCTAATATTGTCCTCGTTTCTTGCTCGCCCATCTGATGGAGAGGGGCAGGTTCGAGGCTGGCTATGTCTGTGTATACATTTTCTCGTGGCGTAGCCTCCTTGCCCTCCCCCCTGCGCGCAAAGTTCGCCTGGGCCGCCCTCCTCCTGGTCGCCGCCGCGTCGGGCACGCGCGTGGCGCGCCGCAACGCCCCCGACGTCGACGCCAAGGCGCGCCGCGTGGGGCGCCGAAGCCGCGCGGGCAGCCGGAAGCATCCCCTCGGGTCGGGGGCAACGTCAGGGGGCGATAGGCTTAACGCGGGGGCAGGGCTCGTTTCGCTTCCTCCGGTTCGATTCGATTCGATGTCGAGGGATTCCGCTTCCGGTTCGAGTCGACTTGGGATTTGGATTTAGATTCCGATTTCTCACTGAAGGCCCACCAGCCTGCCGACTTCAGCCGATTCGACTTCTCGCGACTCGGCTGCCGATTTCCACCGATCCGATTCATTTCGATCGCCGATCCGACTTCTCGATTCAATTTTTGGGGCGCCTGGCCGGAAGCACCCCCTCGGGGGCAACGTCGCGGGGTGATAGGCTTAGCGGGGGGATGCGTCGACCCTCGCTGCAGCGCCACATAATTGTTTGCATTCGTGCCCCTGCCCAGCTGTCGCCCTGGCTCGGGCTCTGCGCTTCGCCCCCCCCCTCCCCTCGGCTTCTTGCAGGGGCGGTGGGGCCGGACAGGTGATTACGCGCACGGCCTTCGACATAGCGTCGACTCAGCGTCGACTACCGTCGACCCCCAATCGCCCACGCATCGCCGATAGGAGGCTCAAAGCAGCCCGCCCCTCCCAGGAACCTGCGGACTCGCTATCGGGGGCCCATCGCCGCTCTGTCGGCGGTGTGTCGCCGATGCCGAGGTTCAAGTCGGGCGTGTCCCTCCGCAGGAGGCTTATCCCCAAAACAGTCACAGAGCAGTCTGGGGAGGACTCTTCTGCTATTTTTTGGGGTACCTTGACGCATGCCTGGACGACTTTTTTTCACACTTTTTTCGTCCAAAGCCCTGGCCGACTCGAGCCGCCGCCCGTGCTCGACCCCACGAGCCAGTCTGCGCCTCGAGCTGCCGTTCCTCCCCGGGCGCTCCCCCCGCCCTCCCCCATCGCCTCCAGACCTCCTCCGGGGGCGGCCACGAGGGGGGTGGTGCTGGCCACCCAGCGGACGTGGAGTTGTGGAGGACGATCACTGGAGAGGGAAGCGTGTCGCCAAGCAGTTTTCAGATGTCTATCAAACATGCTTTGAACATGTAAAAAGACATGTTTAGAACATGCTCATAACATATTCCTACGTTTAAAATACATATTGTTTTAAGGATAGGACTATTAGGGTGTCCATTGTCGTGGCATCCGCAAGGAGTCCCAGATTTCAATCTGCTTCAAGCGCCTTCCTGCTTCAATGATCGAGCGGCTTCCCCTTCTCCGTCCTCTTTCGGGTGCGGGGGGACACACAATCTCTTTTCAACGCCTTCCTGCTTCATGTTTCTACGTGCTTCTGCCGACCGACGGGTAGGGGTGGTGGTGGACATCATGGCGTGGGCCATGATCGTTCCTCAGATTTCATGACGCCTCTTCTTCTTTCCTTGCGTCCCTGGCCCCCTCCCTGGGCCGCGCACATGCCGCCGGCCACGATTCGCCCCCCCCCCCCCCCCCCCCTCTTGGACGCCCCCCTCTTGGCCGCCCCCCCCCCGACCACTGGCAGCTCGAGAAGACCTCGCGCTGGAGGCCCTTGTGATGCTTCTCGGCGCCCGCTGGCCAGCTCCGGGGCCCCGGGGGTCCCCGCAAGGAGCGGCGCCGGACGACGGCGCCAGCTCCTGGCAGGGCTTCGAGAGAGCTCCATAGGGGCCCCCCGGCCTGGAGAGTTCGTGTCGTCGGCGGTCCAGTTCCCGCGCGCCTTGCGTCCCTCTTCGTGTTGTCAGTTCCCAAGCCCTCCTGTGGTGTTGGGTCCTCGTTTTGACGAGACAGCGCCCCGCGTCGCCTCCCGCCCTCCTCCCGCCCTCCTCTCCTCCCCATCCCTGCCTCTGCCCTCATCAGTATGCGTTTCCCCCACCCAGTGCAGCGTTTCGTGGCCACATAGGGAGCTCCACCGAAGGCCCGAGTGGCTGCTCTCGGATGCGGGACCCCCGCCCAGTACAGCGTTTCGTGACCCCATGAGGAGCTTCACCGAAGGCCCCAGTGGCTGCTCTCGCATGCGGGATCCTGCCCAGTACAGCGTTCCATGGCCCCATAGGGAACTCCACCGAAGGCCCCAGGGGCTGCGCTCGCATGCGGTTCCCCCGCCCCCTGCAGCGTTTCGTGGCCCGTATAGGGGGGCTCCAGCCAAGGCCCCGGCGTCTGCACCCGCATGCGGTTCCCCCGCCCAGTACAGCGAGTGGGAGGGTTCGCACGGCGCCGCCGCGCCCATTTTTAGCACACCCCTCGCTTCGCCGCTGGCCCAACGCAGCGAAGCGCAGCGAAGCGCAACACGCTCGGAGGAGGCGGGCGGCCTCTTGTCTGCTGCTCGCTGCGCCCGTGCTTCAGCAAACGTACCCAGATGGTGATGGTGTCGTGGCCCCATAGGGAGCTCCGCCGAAGGCCCCGGGCTGGAGGATTCGCATGGCGTCACCGCACTCCTTCTCGGCATGCCCACTCACGAGTTTCGTGGCCCCGTGGGGAGCTCCACCGGAGGCCCCGGGCTGGAGGCTTCGCATGGCGGCACCGCACTCATTTTCTCGGCATGCCCACTCACGAGTGTCGTGGCCCCGTGGGGAGCGCCACCGAAGGGGCCCCGGCCCCCCCCCGCGCCGACCCTCGAGGGTGCCGCTCCGGCGGATCTGCGCGCTTCAGTTCGCCCAGTGGGTCCTCCTCCTCCTCCTCCTCCTCCTCCTCCTCCTCCTCGTTGTCCTCCTCTTCCTCGTTGTCCTCCTCTTCCTTGTTGTCCTCCTCCTCCTCCTCCTCCTCCTCCTCCTCCTCCTCCTCCTCCTCCCCCTCCTCGTTGTCCTCCTCCTCCTCGTTGTCCTCCTCCTCCTCCTCCTCCTCCTCCTCCTCCTCCTCCCCCTCCTCGTTGTCCTCCTCCTCCTCCTCCTCCTCCTCCTCCTCCTCCCCCTCCTCGAGGATTCGCATGGCGCCACCGCACCTATGTCGACAAAGTGACACATCTCCCACGGCAGACCAGCTGCGTGCGGTGGCGAGCACCCAATCTGTCAGGAACAGGAGCATGTAACAGACCATAGGGAAATGTGTGCAGTGAAGGCTGAGCGCTTCACGGCTCTCATGTCAGCGCAACCAGCCATGCAACCAAACGACACGTTTGAAGCTGTACGGGCATGCTTAACATTTGGTTGTAAGATCCCCATCCATCCAGCACCCTCAGAGCGTGAATCTGAACAGGTACTACTCATGACTGACCATGCCGATGTTTCAAACTTCGGGCTTCAATCACTAGCACATGCATCAGCCTTCCAACCCATATTTGAGTGCTCAATTTGCCTGCGTTTGGTAACCACATTGAGCATTGCTTTTTAGTTTCGTTTCAGCGTTGCGCTTTTCAATGAATGTTGTGGCTTCGGTTCGTGGTGCTCCACTGCCTCTCAGACTTTGGCGACAGCGACGACTGTCCGCAGACACGTCGTCCACAGGTGAACACGACACGTCGTTGTAGGCTTGAGTCGGGCATGTCCCTCTACAGGGGGAATATTCAACAACAGCAAAAAATAGCCTGGGGACGATTTTTCGATTTTTGTTTGGAATATGTTTGAATCTGTTCTGAGTATTTTTCATGGTTCGTCCAAAATCCGCCTGTTGGGGGACATGCCCGATTTCATTGCAGGCTGGTATCGAGTCACAGTGGTTGAACGACTCACTGCTCCGCCAATTGGATCTGGACATGATGAGTTCTATTGGCTATCGTGAGTGTCTTGTCTGTCTTTGCATGTAGTCGTGTTGACATGCGTTTTCATCCACTGGACAAGTCGCTCGGCCACGCCATTTTACGTTGCATCTTCGGGGGACCTCGCCTGCCTCCCAAATTGGTGTCTTTCTTGTGCCCGACGCGGACTTGATCCAGACGCGACGCGGATTTGGCGTGGATTCGGCGCGGACTCGACACGGATTCGACACGGATCCGACGAGTCCGACATGAATTCGACACGGATTTGACACGGATAGGGCCGTGACGGGACAGACAAGGCCCCCCGAGGATGCAACATAACCCATTCCTTAAACATGGGACGGCATCCGGTGGTCGTTTTTTATGTATTGTTTTGCCGATCGGTGCGGGCTCCCCAACCCCCTCTCCCCCCCCGCGGAGTAGATCTTGGCTGTTTTTGGCGCCTGTTTCAGGCAGGCGGAGTCCCTCCTCCACACGACGCACGATTGCAAACAGTCGCACTGAGCAGAGGTCCAGAGCCAGACCCCCCTTCCCTCCCTCCCCCTTTCCGCCCAATGTCGAAACGCCGAAGAAAAGCACGCTCACCAAGGCCCCCCGAGGATGCAACAGAACCCGTTCTCCAAACATGGGACGCCATCTGCCGCGCGAAGGTGGCGGCGGAGGCACGCGAGAACATCCAGGCCCGGGCGCCCGCGCGCGCGCGCCTCCTCCCATGGCTGGGCAGCCCGCGCTGCTCTCCTCGGCGCCCACCCTGCTCGCTCCGTGCAGTGGGGGCTCGTGCCAAGAAACACCCTGCTTGCCTCCAGGGTGCCCTGGGTTTCTTGGGTTTCGGTGGTTTTGCCATGGGCAGCGCGACGTTCCCACACCACACATCAAAGGACGTCCTGGGGTCTCAGGGCTTGGCTTCTTGTGGAAGGTTTCTTGTGGTCGGGCCCCTACTGTACAGTCAACCTGAATAGTAAGGATGGGCAACCTTCCCAAGGATACCCTTGCATCCTTGCCTCCTCGGTCCATCCTCGGCCACTTTCGCTGGCCGCGCCCCGCTCGAAAAGCTTCGAGATGGGTGTCCAAGGCCCTTGCATCTTTGTCGCGCATCCTTACGATGCGGGGTGTCTGTAGCCTCGCGATCGGTGGCGGGGCGTGCTGTCGCCAGAGGCACGGTCCAGCGGTGGTAAGGCTTGCGTTGGGAGGCAGGACGGTGTTCAGCTGGCGACAACAAGCATGTCTGTACATGGTGCATGGAGTGAAGTGCGTACGCCCTAGGACAGGCGCCGCCAGCGGCGGAGAAGACGATAGTGGGCTTCTGTTCGCGCATTGATGGTTCGCCGATTCCGTTTTTCCACCCACTTTCTCTCCCTGCCTTTCGCAAACGCCTGTTCGAGGCGGCTCTGGAAAGCATCTTGGCTGCCCGTGGCTGTCCAACGAGGTTGTGTAGCCGTTGCGGGATGCTTGACCCCCCAGCAGGGATGCAGCGTATGGTTATGTTTGGCAGGGCAGGTCTTCCAACGATCCTGGGCACGGTGGGTTCGCATTCTGCCGACTCGGCGGCGACCTCAAGCCCTCGGAGCAGAGCAACGGCACGAGCGAAACTCTGGCGCTCCGCGCGCTGGGGCCCCCGGGCGGCGCCTCCGACGCCGCCCCTGGCGCGCTCCGCGCGCCGGGGAGGGGGGCGCCCAGGCCAGAGCCAAGGCCTTCGCGCGGACCTCCAGAAGTTATGCTTTGCGCCGTTTTTTCTTCCGCTGAGCTCGGGCGTTCGGGGCTGGTCGCCGCAGTGGCCAAGAAGCGGCCGACACGGAACGATCTACGCTGTTGGAAAGCTGATGCTGAACGATCCACGCAGTGTCGGAAGCCAGCGCGCCCGTCGTCGCGGCCCGAGCCTGCCGCGTCACGGCTACCGCGGCTCGTGCGATGATTTGGTTGTTTATCCGCCTTGCTCGTGACCAGATTCACGATGGGTTCCTGAGCCAGGAGAAGAAGGACGAGAAGGACGAGTCCGAGGTCAGGCACAACAAGGACCGCGGGGTGTCAGCGGGGCAACACGGTGCGCAGGTAGGCCCTCCTCATCAACCCAACACCAGTGCAGAGCTAGACATAACAGGCAGTCGCATCGCAGCACTGCTGTGCGGTCAGCGTTGAGCCCGCAGGGCGGGAATTATGCCTGGCCCCCCCAGGGGCGAGGTAGTCGTCTTTTTTGTACGTTGTTTTGCCGATCGGAGCGGGCCCTCGCACCCCCCCCCTCCCCCCCCCCATGGAGCAGATCCTGGCTGTTCTTGGCGGCTGTTTCGAGCAGGTGGAATCCCTCCCCCATAGGACGCATTGCTGCAAACGGTCGCACTAAGCAGAGGTCCGGAGCCAGACCCCCCCCCCCCTTCCGCCCAATGTCGAAACGCCGAATATGAAGACGCGCACGAGCATGCGCACAAGAACGGGGCGTTACCCTGAACACGGTGAGCATGCCATCATCATACAAACAGGTACTCAACGAAGTTTGTACTTCTTCTATGGCCTGAGCTCGAGGCTCTCCTCTGCTTCCCACTTGTCCTTGGAGTTTGGCTGGGATACGGCCACGATGAATTATCGACTTCTGCAGGGTACCAAGTGGCGCGAGGGCGTTATTGTCTCCCATCCTCTGGATACTCCAGATTTCGTAATAAAAGGGAGGGGGTCTCATTTCGGGGAGGGTCTTTTCCAAGCTATCTTGGAGGGCCTGGGGGGGTCTTTTCCAAGCTATCTTGGGGCGGCTCCTCCGCCGCCTCCTCCCCCTCCTCGCCCTCTCCATGAGCCCGTTTCTTTCTGCTTGGGGCATGACGGGCGTCATGCCCCTCCCCCCATGACGTAACGCTCCTCCCCCCCAGTGCGCTCCGGGCACTACCGCCGTGCGCATTGGGATCCGGGGAGGTGTCCGCGTAGGAATCCGCATAGGAGTCTGGTCCGCAGTCGTCGTCGTCGTCGTCGTCATCGTCGTTGTCGTCGTCGCTCGTCGTCGTCGCTCGTCGCTCATCGTCGTCGTGCGCGCGGACGCGGCTGGAAGTTGTGTTTTGTTCTGGGCCGACGACGGCATTCATCAGGAGGGGGGGTCGATGACGCCACGTTTCGCGCCAGCGGTGTTTGGGAATGTTTAGGAATGACGGAGGACGGGTAGCACCAGCATGACGGTGGCGATTTGCACCACAACGCCTGTGTACACCACAGTGCCTGCGTGCACCACAGCGCCTGTGTACACCACGTCGCATGTGTACACCACAGCAGCCGCGTGCAACACAGCGTCAGTTTGTGGCACCGTGCCTGCGGGCACAACAGCTCTTGTGTACACCACAGCGCCTGCGTACACCACATCCGCCGTGTGCAATACAGCACCAGTGTACACCATGATGCCTGCGTGCATTGCAGTGCCCGTGTGCACTACGACGCCCGAGTGCACCACAGCAACCGTGTGCAACACAAGTTCACTGCTGTATATAGAACGTTAGAAGAAGTCCTTACGACAAAATGGAGCGCTTGTGGATTCCACAGGAAACAATATAACGGATTCTTTACGGACGAGGGAGCGCCGCTGGAATCTACGAGTCCTCCCGAGTGCACCCGCATCACCCTAAGTCCCCCCATCTGCGTCCAGGAGGCTCCAGCTTAACTGGCCGTCCGAGAACCAAGTGGACCGATTCAATAAACCAGTCTGCGGTGCACGCTGAGATTCGTACGTGCGGTGTAGCGCCAACCTGCGCGACAGGGGGTAAGGAGGATGAGGAGGAGGAGGACGACGAGGAGGAGGAGGAGGTGGGCGTGGAGGGGGAGGGAGGAGGGAATAACGTCACATTCGATTCTCCGCACTTTCCTGGCGTGGCGTTTAGTTGTCCGCAGCAGATCTTCACGTACATGCTCCTTCTAGTTGTCCTATACACGCAGGCGCTGTGGTGTACCCCAGCGCTGCGTTGCACGCGGATTTTGTGGTGTAGACAGGCGCCGTGGCGTGCACAGGCGCTGCGGTGCACGCAAGCATTGTGGTGTACACATGCGCTGTGTTGCACATGGTTGTTGCGGTGTGCACATGTACACCGGTGCTGTAGAGTACGCTAACACTGTGGTGTACACAGGCGCTGCGCTGCACACGGTTGTTGCGGTGTACGCAGGCGCTGTGGTATACACGTGCGCTGTGGTGCACGCGAGCGTTGTGGTGTACACAGGCGCAGTGGGGCAGATCGCCACCTACATGCTGCTCGCCGCGTAGTCGTCGTCGTCGCCGTCGTCGTCGTCGTCGTCGTCGTCGTCGTCGTCACTCGTCACTCGTCGCTCGTCGGGTCGTGCGCGCGGGCGCGTTTGTGGTGCTGGAGCCACACGGCGGGGGGGGGGCGTTACGTCATACCCCCGCCCCGCTCCCCCCCCCACCCCCATGACGCCCGTCATCGCCGAACATACAGAAACGCGCTCCATCCTCCTCGTCCTCCCCCTCCTCCTGTTCTTTCTCCTCGGTTCCCCCCCTTCCACTTCTCGGCGGCGAGCAAGGGGGGGAAGTGAGAAGGAGGCCCTCTCAGAAAGCGGCGGGACTTCGCAGAAGCCCTCCGGCGAACGGAGAGGTTTTCCGTGTCTTCGGGGAAAGCTTAGGAAACTCCTCAGAAGGCCAGGGGATTTCGAGCCTTCTTAGAAGGCCTTCTCCTTCTCACTCCCCCCCCTCCCTCTCCGCCAAACTTCAGTGGGCAATTCTCCGCCCTTTAATTCTGGGGGGGCCCAAGCACAGCCACAACCAACAGCGATGGTCTCGTCTCCTGGCCATGCCATTCCTCTTGCCTGGGTAATATTCTGTAGCGTTGCATTTCTCCCGACCCTGAGTGGCCAGGGTCACGTGCGCATGTCCCCTAAGCCTTCGTGACTGCGGGTGCACCCGAAAAGACTATGGGCTCGGCTGTCTCTCTGCTCTCATAGTGACTCTATAAATCAACCCTCGCTCGTCGAGGACTCAATTCATCCGTGTGTATGCGTGTGTATGTGCATATGTGCATGTCTTTGTCTGTGCGTGTATGTTTGTTTGTCTGTCTGTCTGTCTGTCTGTATGCATGCATGCATGCGTGCGTGCGTGCATGCATGTATATATGTATATACGTGTGCATACATTGATGCACGCATGTATGTATGTATGCATGCATGCACGCATGCATGTATGTATGTATGTATGCACGCATGCATACATTGATGTACGTGCGTATGCATCTATACATATATGTATATATACATGTATAAACATATACATTTGTGCATTCATGTATGTATGTGTGAATGCATGCATGCATGCATGCATGTATGTATGTATGTACGTATACATGTATGCTTATGTTTATGCATGCATGTAGGCATGTCTATATGCATGTATGTATGTATACATGAATGATTGCATGCATGTATACATGCATGTGTACATGCATGTTTGTATACATGCATGCATGCTAACATTTATGTCTGTATGAATGCGCGCATTCATGCATGCATGTCTGTATGTGTGTTTGTACATATGTACGTATGCACGTATACTCGTATGTCTGTGTATTATGTATGTATGATTGTATGTATGTGCATGCATGTCTGTATGTGTATATACGTATGTACATGTATATATATACATGTTCACGCATGTAGATGTGTATGTATGTCTCTGCGTGTACGGATGCATGTTATTTATGTACGAATGCATACATGCACGTATGTGTGTATGCATGTATGTGTGTATGCATGCATGCATGCATGTACGTGCGTATGCATGTATACATGTATGCACATACTATGTATGTATGTATGACTGCATGCATGTATGCATGTATGTTTGTATGTACGCATGCAGGCATGCATGCGTTTATGTATGCATGTAGCCATGCATGTATGCGTGTATGCATGCATATATGAATGCATGCATGTATGCATGCATGTATGTTTGCATCTGTGTATGCATGCACGCATGTGAACACGTATGTATGTATGTATGTATACATATATATAGATGTTTGTATATGTATGTCTGTCTGTCTGTATGGATGCATGCAGGTGTGTGTATATGTATTTATGTATGTATCAATGCGTTCATGCATGCATGCATGCATGCATGCATGTATGTATGTATGTATGTATGTATGTGGGTATAACTGACTGATTGTTTGTATGCAGGTATGTATGTATGTATGTATGTATGTATGTATGTATGTATGTATGTATGTATGTGTATATATATACATGTATATATATATAGGTGTATATATATATGCGTCTGTGCGGGTCCGTAGACGTCGGCTCAAGTCAGTGCTTACGAGTTGTCCCTTTACGATGCTCGTCTTTTATACTTCTGCCCATGCTGCTCGTTCTTCATACACTTCGCATAGCTCATGTGCTGCCCGCGCAACGCATAGCAAGGGTGGCTTTTTCTCTTATTTCTTTGGAGGTAGCACCAAACGCAACAGTCACGAGCTTCCTAAAAGGTGGAGACTCGAGGAATCGAATGCGTCCGACCTCGAAGTCACTTCCAAAGTTTTTTTCGAAGTCGCAATCGACGGCAAGCAATCGGGGAGAATTACTATAGGCCTTTTCGGACAAGTTGTGCCACATACTGCTGAAAACTTTAGGTCTTTGTGTGTGGGGGACAATGGTTTATCCTACAAGGGTTCCCCGTTTCACCGCATCATTCCAGGATTTATGTGCCAAGGTGGCGACATCACTCACTTCAATGGTACAGGAGGTCGAAGCATATCTGAAGGGCTATGCCCTCTATCGCCAGCCCCCATTGCTGAGCCATCTTGGCCTTCTTGGAGGCCTCTTGGGCTGTCTGGGGACCCTCTTGGGCCGTCTTGGTGCTTCGTTGAGCCGTCTTGTGCTCCTGTCGGCCGACTTGAGGATCTTTGGGGGCTTCTTGGGGCCCTCTAGGGGCCGTCCTGGGACCCTCTTGGGCAGTCTTGGGGCCGCCTTGAGGGTCTCTCCGGTCATCTTAGGGCTGTCTTGGGAGCCTTCTGGGTTGTCTTCAGGCCATCTTGGAGGCATCTTGGG